ACGTGGCTCAGTGGAGCCTTCCCAGGTTTAAAATAATAAATAGTTTTAGTTTTCGATTTAAAGCTTTCGTGACTGCAGGGATTCATCTTCTTGGTTCTTTCGGTAAAGTCACGTTCTACGTTCTACGTGACTTTACCGAAAGAACCAAGAAGATGAGTTTTAGTTTTGTTCAGTTTTACTCTCGGGGGGATGGGTCTCGTGGAGGCTGTTTCCAGTGGAGGCTCCTTCAGCCAGCAGTGGAGTGAGCTAAGCAGTTGCAGGGCTGCGCCTTCGTCTTCGAACGTGTTTTCGGTGGTGGTTGTTGTTATGAAACGCGGCGTGGATTCCCATGGGAACTTCTGGGCCCATTGTCTCGTGAGGGCGAGGGGTATTATGGGTAGGAAATGTGTGGGGGGGGGGGGGGGGGTTTATGTGGGTGTGGACCTTTGCCTTTCGCGGTGTGTAAACTACGCCACGAGGGAGACAAAGGCGGCCGGGCGTGCGTGGTGCTGGCACACCCACAACCCCCTCGCGTGCCGTGCAGGCCATCGTAGGTGCTCGCTAACGGCACTTGCCCCAACAGTCTGTTAGAGGCTACACGGGGGATCTTTGTCTTTGTGTGGGGAGCGGTGGCGCAGTGGTTAGCACTGCACTACCGCTATCAACACGGCAGGGACCCGAGTTCGATTCCCACTCACGTCGACCCAATATCAGTGACGAATGATTAAACCGGTCGTGGGTCTCCCTTAGGTCGACTCAGCCTTAAAAACGAGTACCTGGTGCGATGTGTAAAAAAAAACATTGCCACTGGGGAGACAAAGGCGGTCGGGCGTGGTGCTGGCCACCCACCCCCTCGCGTGCCGTGCCGGCCTTCATAGGTGCTGCTACTCGCTAACAGCATTTGCCCCAACAGTCTGTTCGAGGCTACACGGGGGATCTTTGTCTCCTTCATAGGCGCTGCTGCTGCTACTCGCTAACAGCACTTGCCCCAACAGCCCGTTAGAGGCTACACGGGGGATCTTTGCCTTTGTCTCCTTCATAGGCGCTGCTGCTACTCGCTAACAGTACTTGCCCCGACAGTCTGTTAGAGGCTACACGGGGGATCTTTGTCTTTGCGGGGTGGGTGGATGGGGGTCAGAGTCACCATTTCCCGTGCTCTCTATCAGCTTCCAGCATCTGGTCACACAACGCCCTTAGGGGCCGCGCTGAGCGGTGTAAAGGCGGGGAGGGGGTGGGTGGAGAGGGGGGGGGCATTCATCCAGCAGTGGAGAGATCATAGCTTCAGCTTAGTTATCCAGAAGAGCCACACCTGGGTGACGCAGCGGTTGTTTGAGATGTTGACTACCTCGCTTGGTATACAGAGGTCGTGGGTTCACTCCTGACCCTGACGCCTGCTGCTGTATATTTGGAGTATGCGTGTCTCTTTCTCTCCCCGTGGTGAGATGTTAACTACCTCGCCTGGTGTACAGGAGGTCGTGGGTTCACTCCTGATCCTGACGCCTGCTGCTGTATATGTGGAGTCTGCGTGTCTCTCTCTCTCCCTGTGGTGAGATGATAACTACCTCGACTGGTGTACAGGAGGTCGTGGGTTCAGTCCTGACCCTGACGCTTGCTGCTGTATATTTGGAGTTTGCGTGTCTGTCTCTCTCCCTGTGGTGATATGTTAACTACCTCGCCTGGTGTACAGGAGGTCGTGGGTTCACTCCTGACCCTGACGCCTGCTGCTGTATATTTGGAGTCTGCGAGTCTCTCTCTCTCTCTCTCCCTGTGGTGAGATGTTAACCACCTCGCCTGGTGTACAGAAGGTCGTGGGTTCGACCCTGACGCCTGCTGCTGGATAGTTGGAGTCTGCGTGTCTCTCTCTCTCCCTGTGATCACTGCGTGGATTTGTCTCTGGGTCCTCCCGGCTTTTCCCCTGCACATTTAGAATCAATGTCACGCGTTTGGAGTATTTGGGCTGCTAAACATATCCACGTGACGACGATGATGATGATAAGCCCACTTCGTTGAGCTGATATCATTTGCGATGGCCGGGTTGCTTCTGAAATGAAGAGGTTCTTGATAGCTCAGTGGGTTCTTACGTGATGAAAAAAAAATTGGTTTAGAATAGGTTTTCCCCTTTTTTCTGGCAACCAAACAGGTGTTAAGATATTCTTTGGTTCTTTCGGTAAAGTCACGTAGGGAGAAAAAAACAATAACAGATCACGACGTTTCGATCGCCACACAAGCAACCGTCTTCAGGTGTGGCGATCGAAACGTCGTCATCTATTATTATTCTACCGCTACGTGGTTTTACCGAAGCAACCAAAGATTATGAATTCCTGCAGTGTACGGGAGCTTCAAATCAAGGTGTTAACATGTTAAAACACCAAACTGAAACCCTTTACAAGGAATCATGTTGCCAGGAAAACGGGGAAAACCTATTCTCACATTTTGGTCCTGGCAAAGGATACAATTTTGTTCAGTTAAAAAAAAAGTTCAGTTAACAAGAAATTGTTCGGTAAAAAAAAAATGTTTAGTTAAAAAAATCAATCTTGATTTAAATCTTTCGTGACTGCAGGAATCCATACTCTTTGGTTCTTTCTGTAAAGTCACGTCGGTAGAAATAAAGTAAAACAAATCCCGACGTTTCGATCGTAACACAAGCAACCTTTATCAGGTGGAACACCCTCAGAATTTTGTTCCAACTGCTTGTGTTGCGATCGAAACGTCGTGATTTGTGTTATTTTATTTCTACCTCCGTGACTTTACCGAAAGAACCAAAGAGTATAAAAAAATCAGCCGATTTCCTGTTCGCTGTTCGGAGCGGGGAATTTATATCAGCCGGCCAAATCACTCCAAACGCGTGGCGACCTCGATTCTAAAGGGTGGAGGGGGAACCCCTAGGGGACCCCCTCGAGCAGCGGTCCACAACCTTTTTGGCACCTGCAGGGACCCGTTTCGGGGAAGACAATTTTTTCACGGACCGAGGGAGGGAGGGGAGTTCATCATTGGGTTTTTCCTCCTTTTCAAAGAAGCTCTCCGGCGACGTTTGTTTTTTACTCATTTTTGCTACTAGGGGTTAGCAGCTCGTGGGCTGACCAACACTGTGACATGGTTTAGCCATGTTTGTTTGTTGTAGTACAGAGTTAGACTGATGGCCTTAATCTAAGTTGTCTTACTCTTAGTTCTTTCGGCAAAGTCACGTAGGTAAAAAAATGAAATTCAAATTAATAAAAATAAAACAATAAAAATCACGACGTTTCGGAGGCAACACAAGCTTCCGTCTTCAACACAAGCTTCCGTCTTCAGGAAGATTGTGTTGCCTCCGAAACGTCGTGATTTTTATTGTTTTATTTTTTATTAATTTGAATTTCATTTTTTTACCATACGTGACTTTACCGAAAGAACTAAGAGTATGAATCCTTGCAGTCACGAAAGCTTCAAATCTAGAACTAAGTTGTCTTGTTGTTGTTTTTTGACTTGCATCCCACTGGAATTTTTGCACACAGCGTTGGTGTACGGTGTTTTTTCTGCAACATTTTGCTGTCTTTTCTTGGATTTTCTGTTTGCACTCAGTCACATATTCACTTTAAGATGTTTTTTTGTTCATGTTTTTGTTTTTTGCTTGTTGCGGTGGCACCCGATTCAAGAGCCGAATGGCTCACAGGGCTATACCTAATACATGAACTTGAACTTGAGGCAAGTGCGGGAAAGAGGCGCGGACGGAAGTGGTGAATAATAAAATCATGGCGGGTTCCACGCGCGCCCTCACCGCTCTCACCTCTTGCTGCTGTGCGGCCCGGTTCCTAACAGGCCACGGGCCGCTAGCGGTCCGTGGCCCGGGGGTTGGGGGCCCCTGATCTCGAGGCGAAATCCCCGCGGTGTGTTGTGTGGTGACGAGACGCGGGCACCAGATGGCAGCACAGCAACTCAGCATCGCCACGTGGCGAAGCGGCTGCTGTTGTTGATGCTGTTGCCGCTGTTACAGCCGCTGCTGCTGATGTTGCTGCTGCTGGTGTTGCTGCAGCTGCTGCTGTTTGCTGCTGCACCTGCTGATGCAGCAGCTGTTGCAGCTGCTGCAGGTTCTGCAGCTGCTGTTGCTGCTGCTGTTGCTCCTGTTTTTGCTGCTTCTGTTGCTGTTCCAGCTGTTGTTGTTGCTGCAGGTGTTGCTGTTGCTGCAGGTGCTGCTGTTCCTGCTGCTGCTGTTGCTGCAGCTGCTGCTGCTGTTACTGTTGCTGCTGCTATTGCAACTGTTGCTGCTGTTGTTGCTGCTGCTAATGTAGTTGCTGCATTGGCAACACCACTGCACCATAGACTCAACACTGCACCATAGACTCAACACTTCGTTTGTTGTTGTAACGTTCTAACCCCGTGCCCCTACTGGACGGCAGTGGTCAAAATAAATCAAAAGAGCTTTACAGCTCATCGGATTCCCCCTCCAGTAGCAGCGTTCAACAAATCTTCGGCTGATTTTGACATTCGACGTTTAACTTTGGCCGAGGCCACGTGCTCCGGTACTTTTTGTCCCCTGTCAATCACCGCGCTCCAAGCCCCTCCCCCTTCGTTCCAAGCTCCTCCCCCTTCGCTATAAGCCCCTCCCCCTTCACTCCAAGCCCCTCCCCCTTCGCTCCAAGCTCCTCCCCCTTCGTTCCAAACCCTCCCCTTCGCTCCAAGCCCCTCCCCCTTCGTTCCAAGCCCCTCCCCCTTCGCTCTAAGCCCCTCCCCCTTCACTCCAAACCCCTCCCCCTTCGCTCCAAGCCCCTCCTTCTTCGCTCCAAGCCCCTTCCCCTTCACTCAAAACCCCTCCCCCTTCGTTCCAAGCCCCTCCTCTTTCGCTCTAAGCCCCTCCCCCAAACCCTTATCGGCCCCGCCCATTATATATAAGCCCCTCCCCCCCGTAGAGTCTCCCGCCACGGGGCTGCGCGAGACGCGTGAGGGGGGGGGGGGGTAGAAGAAGTTCGAGAGGCGAACGCGAGAGGCCACTCAGGGCGACCCCCCCCCCCCCCCCCGCGGGGTTTTCCCGCTTATTCGTGTCGCGGCTTAGAGAGAGAGAGAGGAAGAATAAGAAGGGGAAGGAGGGGGGCGCGGGGTGGGGGGGTTAACTTTTAAAATATAAACTTAATGACGCGACGAATAAAAGCGCCGCGAATTAAACAACAAAAATGTCTCGAAATCGCGGCGCGTGAGGGGAAAATCGGCGAGATTCCGCGGCGGCGGGGAGAGTTTTGCACGATTTAGCCGTGAGGGAGAAGACGTGGCTGGTGGTGGTGGTGGGTGGTGGTTGATGGTGGTGGTGGTTGTTGTTGTTGCTGCAAGTTCGCGGCAATTTTGAACTCGCGGTGTTTGGGCCACTTCGGGTGGAGAGACATGAGATAAGAAGATGGCGGCGGCGGTGGTGGTGGTGGCGAGCGGAGACCGCGGTGGTGGTGGTGGTAGTAGTTGTGGTGGTGGTTGTGGTGGTGGTGGTGGGGGTAGTGGTAGTGGTGGTGTAGGCTGTGGTTGTGGTGGGGGTAGTGGTCGTGGTATAGGCTGTGGTGGTGGTGGTTGTGGTAGTGGTGGTGGTGGTAGTGGTGGTGTAGGCTGTGGTGGTGGTGGCGGTAGTGGTGGTGGTAGTGGTGGTATAGGCTGTGGTGGTGGTGGTGGTAGTGGTAGTGGTGGTGTCGGCTGTGGTGGTGGTAGTGGTGTAGGCTGTGGTGGTAGTGGTGGTGTAGGCTGTAGTGGTGGTAGTGGTGTAGGCTGTGGTGGTGGTAGTGGTATAGGCTGTGGTGGTGGTAGTGGTGTAGGCTGTGGTGGTGGTATAGGCTGTGGTGGTGGTGGTGGCTCTGGTGGTGGTAGTGGTGGTAGTAGTGGTGGCTGTGGTGTAGGCTCTGGTGGTAGTGGTGGCTATGTAGGCTGTGGTAGTGGTGGTGGCTGTGGTGTAGGCTCTGGTGGTAGTGGTGGCTATGTAGGCTGTGGTAGTGGTGGTGGCTGTAGTAGTGGTGGCTGTAGTGGTGGCTGTAGTGGTGGCTATGTAGGCTGTAGTAGTGATGGTGGTGGTATCGTGACAGCGAGAACAACAACATCGCTGCCACTGCCGGCTACGGTTGTCCTTAAAAATGAACTCGACTACGATGACGACGACGATAATGAAGATGCTGATGATGCCGAGGATGAAGATGCTGAGGATGCTGATGATGATCGACGTCTGAGGGCTGCTGCTGCTGTTGCTGCGGAGACTTTGGATCTGAGCGCTGTGGAGAGAGACGCGTTGCCCCACCGCAGCAGGTACCAGTCCGGCGTTGCGAAGATAACGAAAGTTTGGAGTGAATGGAAATATCTTCTTGGTTCTTTCGGTAAAGTCACGTAGAAGGTGAATAATACAATAATAAATTAAAAGTTAGAATTGTATTTTATTGTTTTTTAAGTTTGGAGTGAATGGAAACATCTTCTTGGTTCTTTCGGTAAAGTCACGTAGAAGGGGAATAATACAATAATAAATTAAAAGTTAGAATTGTATTTTATTGTTTTTTAAGTTTGGAGTGAATGGAAACATCTTCTTGGTTCTTTCGGTAAAGTCGCGTAGAAGGGGAATAATACAATAATAAATTAAAAGTTAGAATTGTATTTTATTGTTTTTTAAGTTTGGAGTGAATGGAAACATCTTCTTGGTTCTTTCGGTAAAGTCACGTAGAAGGGGAATAATACAATAATAAATTAAAAGTTAGAATTGTATTTTATTGTTTTTTAAGTTTGGAGTGAATGGAAACATCTTCTTGGTTCTTTCGGTAAAGTCACGTAGAAGGGGAATACTACAATAATAAATTAAAAGTTAGAATTGTATTTTATTGTTTTTTAAGTTTGGAGTGAATGGAAACATCTTCTTGGTTCTTTCGGTAAAGTCGCGTAGAAGGGGAATAATACAACAATAAATTAAAAGTTAGAATTGTATTTTATTGTTTTTTTTAAGTTTGGAGTGAATGGAAACATCTTCTTGGTTCTTTCGGTAAAGTCACGTAGAAGGGGAATAATACAATAATAAATTAAAAGTTAGAATTGTATTTTATTGTTTTTTAAGTTTGGAGTGAATGGAAACATCTTCTTGGTTCTTTCGGTAAAGTCGCGTAGAAGGGGAATAATACAATAATAAATTAAAAGTTAGAATTGTATTTTATTGTTTTTTTAAGTTTGGAGTGAATGGAAACATCTTCTTGGTTCTTTCGGTAAAGTCACGTAGAAGGGGAATAATACAATAATAAATTAAAAGTTAGAATTGTATTTTATTGTTTTTTAAGTTTGGAGTGAATGGAAACATCTTCTTGGTTCTTTCGGTAAAGTCACGTAGAAGGGGAATAATACAATAATAAATTAAAAGTTAGAATTGTATTTTATTGTTTTTTAAGTTTGAAGTGAATGGAAACATCTTCTTGGTTCTTTCGGTAAAGTCACGTAGAAGGGGAATAATACAACAATAAATTTAAAGTTAGAATTGTATTTTATTGTTTTTTAAGTTTGGAGTGAATGGAAACATCTTCTTGGTTCTTTCGGTAAAGTCACGTAGAAGGGGAATAATACAACAATAAATTAAAAGTTAGAATTGTATTTTATTGTTTTTTAAGTTTGGAGTGAATGGAAACATCTTCTTGGTTCTTTCGGTAAAGTCACGTAGACAGGGGAATAATACAATAATAAATTAAAAGTTAGAATTGTATTTTATTGTTTTTTAAGTTTGGAGTGAATGGAAACATCTTCTTGGTTCTTTCGGTAAAGTCACGTAGAAGGGGAATAATACAACAATAAACTAAAAGTTAGAATTGTATTTTATTGTTTTTTAAGTTTGGAGTGAATGGAAACATCTTCTTGGTTCTTTCGGTAAAGTCACGTAGAAGGGGAATAATACAACAATAAATTTAAAGTTAGAATTGTATTTTATTGTTTTTTAAGTTTGGAGTGAATGGAAACATCTTCTTGGTTCTTTCGGTAAAGTCACGTAGAAGGGGAATAATACAACAATAAATTTAAAGTTAGAATTGTATTTTATTGTTTTTTAAGTTTGGAGTGAATGGAAACATCTTCTTGGTTCTTTCGGTAAAGTCACGTAGAAGGGGAATAATACAACAATAAATTAAAAGTTAGAATTGTATTTTATTGTTTTTTAAGTTTGGAGTGAATGGAAACATCTTCTTGGTTCTTTCGGTAAAGTCACGTAGACAGGGGAATAATACAATAATAAATTAAAAGTTAGAATTGTATTTTATTGTTTTTTAAGTTTGGAGTGAATGGAAACATCTTCTTGGTTCTTTCGGTAAAGTCACGTAGAAGGGGAATAATACAACAATAAATTAAAAGTTAGAATTGTATTTTATTGTTTTTTAAGTTTGGAGTGAATGGAAACATCTTCTTGGTTCTTTCGGTAAAGTCACGTAGAAGGGAAATAATAACAATAATAAAAATAAATTAAAAGTGAGAATTGTATTTTATTGTGTTATTTTTATTATGTTATTATTTCCCCTTCTACGTGACTTTACCGAAAGAACCAAGAGGATGAATCCCTGCAGTCACGAAAGCTTTAAATCGAAATTTAAATGGAAGTAGTTGATAATGGCAAAGTTGGGCTGTGGCGATGCAGCTCCCGAGCCTCTGTGCGATTCGGAAGCCGCTAAAGTTTGAAAATCAAAGTGCTTTAAGTTAAATAAAAGTTGCGTTTTATTGTTTTGTGTACGTCAGCGTGTTTTCCGCTGAACTTGCCGCGATTTCAATGTCAAACTTTTAAGTGGTTCACCCCCTCTCCCTGCTGCTCCAATAAGTTAAAATAATAACACGGGAAAGGGTTTCCATCCAGCAGTGAAGCGAACATGGCCAGCGATGCCGATATTGCCACTTTATTATCGTGTATTAGCTCTTGTTTTAATTTCAAATGATTTAAGCGTCGTAATAATAATTTTAATGATAATAATACAATCACGCGAGCCAGTGTTAGTGCAATTTAGAACGTTGGACCCTGGGTGGGATTCATTGAGGAGGGGTCCCCTCTGACACCTGGAGAGAGATGAAGTTGTCTGACCTTAGCGAGGTTTATGATAGAAGTCGTCTGTCTAGTGCTGTTAGCGAGCACCTATTAAGGCCGGCACGGCACACGAGTGGGTGGGTGGCCAGCACCACGCCCGGCCGCCTTTGTCTCCCCAATGACGATGTTTACACTAATTTGAGGCTGAGTCGACCTAGGGGAGGCCTGGGACGGGTTCAGATAATCGTCATTGAGTGTTGTTGGCCGTGAGCTCTAATCGAACTGGGGTCCCCAGGTTCGTAGCGCTAACCGCTGCGCCACCACTCCTCACTACTAATTCGTGTACCGTAGTTGCACACACGCACACACACACACGTGCTTTATCTTAATTTGAATCGGCACTCCCAACGTCACGTGAGATTTGTTTACAGATTAATCAGGCACGTGGTGATTGGTCACGAAATAATTTGTGTTCAGGAGGCAAACTATGTCACATTAGAACTAGAGGGGGGGGGGGGTTGGGGGCGTTCATCCAGCAGTAGACTCATCAAGGCCGATGCTGGTGGTGATGTTATGCTGTGCGGCCGACGTACGTTACGCGTGTAGGGTTTGTGCGTGTGCCTCGTCACCTGCCCTTGTGTTTGGTGTTGTGTTTCGGTGTCGTCTTGCATTGTTTTATGCACCGTGTATGGTGCTGTGTTTACTCTCCCAGTGAGGTGTGCTGATAATGATGATGTTGTCATCACCGCACTCTCCCAGTAAGGGGATTAATGATGTTATTATTGCTCAACTTGCTTACCAAAGAAAGCTACCGCTGACTCTTTTTTCAGGAGGGTCCTGACAAGTTTATCTGGCGCCCCGGTGGCTAGAAGATGTTAACTACCTCGCCTGGTGTACAGGAGGTCGTGGGTTCTATCCCGACCCTGACGCCTGCTGCCCTATATTTGAAGTTTGCGTGTCGCTCTCTCTGTGGTGAGATGTTAACTGCCTCGCCTGGTGTACAGGAGGTCGTGGGTTCTATCCCGACCCTGACGCCTGCTGCCCTATATTTGAAGTTTGCGTGTCGCTCTCTCTGTGGTGAGATGTTAACTACCTCGCCTGGTGTACAGGAGGTCGTGGGTTCTATCCCGACCCTGACGCCTGCTGCCGTATATTTGAAGTTTGCGTGTCGCTCTCTCTGTGGTGAGATGTTAACTACCTCGCCTGGTGTACAGGAGGTCGTGGGTTCTATCCCGACCCTGACGCCTGCTGCTGTATATTTGAAGTTTGCGTGTCTCTCTCTCTGTGGTGAGATGTTAACTACCTCGCCTGGTGTGCAGGAGGTCGTGGGTTCTATCCCGACCCTGACGCCTGGTTTTGTCTATTTGAAGTTTGCGTGTCTCTCTCAATCCCTCCCCGTGGTCGTGTGGGTTTATCTCCGGGTCCTGTGGTTTTGCCTTCCACATTTAGTAACGGGTGGCTAGATTATGTGGAATTATTTTGCTCCTGTGGATTGCCACATGCTGAGCCACTTCGTTGAGCTATCATTTTTTGGCCAGGTCGCTTCTGAAAAATAAGCTAAGGGCTCCGTGGACCTTCCCTAGTAAGATTTTGTAAATTTAGTTTAGTTTTACTTGTACATATTTTAAAAGTGATTAATTTACCTTGCCTATAATTTGCATTCCTTCCTATCTTGTTTTTGTGTTACTTGTTATTGTAACGTTCTGACCCCCGTGCCCCTACTGGGCATCTTCATAGCTCATCGGATTTCCTCCGGCATCGATAAATATTCTGATTCCATACTCTTTGGTTCTTTCGGTATCGTCACGTAGCTAAAAAAAATAAATAAAACAAAAAATCATATCACGACGTTTCGATCGCAACACAAGCGGTCGCCCACTGCTGGATATTTTTTTCCGCCTGAGGACGACCGCTTGTGTTGTGATCGAAACGTCGTGATTTGTTATTTTTTGTTTTATTTTATTTTTCTATCTCCGTGATTTTACCGAAAGAACCAAAGAGTATGGATTCCTGCAGTCACGAAAGCTTCAAATCAAGATATTCTGATTCCAATTATGAGGACGGCGGCGGAGCTTGATCCGCCAGTCACGCGGAACATCGTAATTAAATTAGCGGGACACACTGGAGCGCGAGGCAATTATTTGCACGCACTTAGCGAGTTGTCACACGGGACACACGCAAGCAAGCGCGTGTGCGTGCATGTGACACGCCTCTGAACGCGCTCGTTTGTGTCCTAAAATGCGCACAGCAGACTCTCGATTACCAATGACGGGCAGGATGG